CATATTACTACCGAAGGGGACACGTATATTAGTGATGGTACACTAGTAAATCATGATGAACCTAATAGCTATAAGGAAGCCATGAAAGGCCCAGAGTCTGCGAAATGGAATGAGGCAATGGATAGCGAGATCCAATCCATGTACGATAACTAAGTTTGGAATTTGGTTGATTATGTGCCCGGACGTAAGACCGTTGGGTGCAAGTGGATCTTCAAGAAGAAGACCGACGTGGATGGGAACGTACACACATATAAAGCGTGATTGGTTGCGAAGGGCTTTACTCAAACTCCGGGAGTTGACTATGATGAGACCTTCTCACCAGTTGCGAACATTAAATCTATTAGAGTGATGCTAGCAATTGCCGCATTTCATGATTATGAAATTTGGCAAATGGATGTCAAGACCGCTTTCCTTAACGGAAAGTTGACTGAGGATGTTTACATGGCTCAGCCAGAGGGGTTTGTGAATCCGAAGCATCCAAATAGAGTGTGTAAGCTTGAGAAGTCCATTTATGGACTTAAGCAAGCGTCTCGTAGATGGAATCTTTGCTTCGATGAGAAAGTCAAAGAGTTTGGATTTGTACGAAGTGAAGACGAATCTTGTGTATATGTCAAAGCCAGTGGGAGTATAGTAATCTTCCTCATTCTATATGTCGATGACATATTACTCATAGGAAACGACGTCCCGACTCTGCAGGAAGTCAAGTTATGGCTCGGGAAGTGTTTCACTATGAAAGACCTCAGAGAGGCTTCTTACATTTTGGGAATAAGGATAGTAAGAGAAAGAAGTAAGAGACTAATTGGACTTAGTCAGAATACTTACTTAGAGAAGGTACTAAAATGTTTTAGTATGGAAAACTCAAAGAAGGGAGAACTACCGATACAAGGAAATGCCAAGTTGAGTAAGACTCAAAGTTCGAGTACTGAAGCTGAAATAGCATAAATGAGCCGAGTACCGTATGCTTCCGCAGTTGGATCAATCATGTACGCTATGACTTGTACTCGCCCTGATGTAGCCTTCGCTTTGAGCATGGTTAGCAGATATCAAGGGAACCCTGGCAAAGCACATTGGATTGCGGTGAAGAACATACTTAAGTACCTTCGGAGGATGCAAGAATGGTTCTTAGTCCTTGGAGGGAGTGATGACTTGAAGGTGCGAGGGTATAGTGATGCCAGTTTTCAGACCGATAGGGACAACTACCGTTCGCAGTCGGGCTGGGTCTTTACCCTAAATGGAGGAGCAGTAACTTGGAAAAGTTCCAAGCAAGAAATCGTAGCTGATTCAACGTGCGAATCAGAGTACATCGCAGCGAGCAAAGCGTCGAAAGAGGCGATATGGCTAAAGAACTTCATTGGTGATCTTGGAGTTGTGCCTGCCATAAAGGAGCCCATGGAGATTTTCTGTGATAATGAAGGTGCAGTTGCCTTGACCAAGGAACCGAGGGATCATGGTAGATCTCGACATATCGACAGAAAATATCACTTCATTAGACATCGTGTAGAAGAAGGACAACTCATAGTTAAGAGGATATCATCAGAAGATAACCCAGCAGATCCGCTTACGAAGGGACTGAGTAGGGTTAAGCACTTGCAGCATGCTAGGAGTATTGGGCTGAAGGATGATATTAGTATAGATTAGGTAGTATTAGAAACATATAATAGATAAATGTAATTAACATTTGATGATTAAATAAAGGAGTTTTATTTATAAGTAAAGTTACTGTCATATGTTAATTGTTTAACTATTGTTTCACTTTGCATGTTTTGACTTCCAGAATAATTGAGTTTATTAGGAATAATCGAATTATTCAAATTGTCCACAATCGTTCATATGTCGGAAGTAGATATGAATGAAGATTGTCATGAATTGGTGTGTAGATTGTCTAAATGGTGTTAGACATAGCAATGGTTGCTGCAACGTTCATGAGTGCTTATGAACTGGTTTTGAGCATTGGAACAAACCCATGCTTGCTGGAATCACTTTATGGAATACGATATAAAAGGTGATCGCAAGACGATAATATCATATAGTCTTAAAACCTAGATATATGCACTACTAGAAAAAAGACCTTTAATGACGCGCTTTTTACGATACGCGATAATTAACAATACGCAAAAGGACGTGCCCTTAAAATAGTGTTATCTCTCCAAAAAATTTAAGGATTTACGTCATGCTTTATTGTGTGCCCTTAATTTAGTGTCTCAAGAAAAAAAAATTAAAAACACGGAGGGTGCTTTATCTTAAACGCGCGTCGTCTGTACCTGTCGCTTTATAATTTTAATGAAACGCGCTTTTAGTAGACATTGGTGGAAATGAAATCCCCAAAATTTTGAAAACCCGCCTTTTTTTTTCTATCTTCTATCTATCTTTTATCTTCAACCTAACAAGGACGAGCATTGCACTCTTGATTTCCCTAACTCTTTCTCATTTTCTGATTCAAACTTGAAAGAATCGAAAAAAAAATCTATCAATTTTGAAGCCTAAAAAAAATCTAACAAGGACGAGTATCCATCGACCAGACTTCCAAAAATAGAGGGCATCGATTCCACGTCTTCCGAGGTTGGGAGGAAGGAAAAACTGTTGGTCTCGTGTTGGTTTTGTGATGTTCAATCGAAGAAAAGGAAATCAGAATCGACAAAAAAGAGACCGGCTGGACAGGTGTGTTCGTCGGCCCTCTACTGCCTCTCCTTGTTTGCTCTACCTTCGAAAAAAATGGAGGGCAGCCATCGTGACGGTGCTGACCACCGGAAAGTGCAAACGAACTCGATTAGGGCATAATGCAATCATTCATGATGCCAAAGGTAATTAATTAATTTTTTTTAGTTTTTAGTTCACCTCTTTTACATGGATTACTTGCAGGTAATTAATTAATCCAGGCGGTCACTTATTTTCTCCACCATCGCTGCATTCGCTAATATCCACTCCGACCTCTTATGAACGCAAATGGTAAAGATCTGCTTCGATTTCCCGATTGGTCTTCAGAGTGATCTAATTGTGTTGATACTCTTCTTTCTTATTTGGATTCTCCAAGCCATATGCTACTGTGGCGGTTCGGTTAGTGAGTTATTCATCGACGGTGGTGGTGAGTCGGAGGTGCCATGTTGATGTGATTATTACAATCGATTGCAGAAAATGAGAAGATTTAGGGTTTTTTTTGGTCCAGTGGAATACTTTTAGGTTTCGTCTTGACTCCTTTTATTTTATTTTCTTTCTTTTCCTTTCCTTCTGCCATCTGCTTCCTTTCCCCACCTCTTCTTTCTTATTTGGATTCTCCAGGCGATATGCTACTGTGGCGATTCAGTCGGTGGTGGGTCAGCCTCAATTTCATAACATTTTAAGGGATTGCTGTTGGTGTTCATCGACGGTCGTGGTGGGTCGGAGGTGCCATGGTGATGTGAAGAAATAGAGAAAAAGGAATATAGTCATCACTTCCTGATACCGACGACGATCCGTTTTCTGCATTAGCCAGATTGAATGACTTTAAAGGAGGTTCGTATTTCTTTTGTATGTTTTTTTATCCCAATCAATGAATGGATTTTTTCCCCTGTATACGTTGGGCATCTTTCTTTTCTTTATGTATGACAAAGTGATCAAGCATAAAATCAGGGTGCAGAATCCAAATAAGCAAGATCATCCTCATCAACACCTCCTTTTGAGAAAACAAATTTATTCTCATCTTCCAAATCCTTTAAAGTTTCAAATTTATTTGTAGACAAAAAATTCTCAGCATCATGACCCTTCATAGAATGATTAACCAAATCAAAATTAGAAGAAATTTTAAAAGCTGCCCCAGATTTCAGAATATAGCCCTGCTTGCTACCATTAAAATTCACCCCTGCTTCTGATTTTTTAGCTTCCTGGTCAGGCCGAATCATAGAATTATTCCCCACAAACCCTTTGACTTCCGAAACATCACCCTCATCCTTGTTCTTTCCTATAACCTTGTTACTTTTCCAACTTTACCCCTGTTCAATCTTTGAATCATTAGACTTTCCTTTCATTGGCTGAATATTCCCATAATACCCCTGCCCATTTTTACCTCCTGTCTTCCCACCTCTATCAAAACTAGATTCCAAATTTTCCTGATTATTCCCATTATACCCCTGATAGCGAATTCCTGCAGAAGCCCCAGAATTTCCAATTTTCGGATAATTCCCTTTTTGCCCCTGCTTGCGGTTTCCAGCAAAAACCCCTGAACCTTCATTTTTCGAGAAATTCCCTTGATGCCCCTGACTCGAAAACTGTTTTTTCCCCCTGTAGCTTATTTTGAAAAAAAAAATCCACTATTTTCTTTGGTTTTCTTCACCACATCAACAAACCCATCATTTTGTTCCTTAACTTCTTTAGTGCTGGCAAGAAGCACTTGCATAAGATCCACAATAGCTCCTTCTTTTCCTTTCTCTATTTTACTTCTCTCCTCTTCTTCTTTCATTTGTTTAGCAATTAAAATTCCACAATTTATATCCTTATGACCATAAACTTTACAGTGAGAACACTTAGAAGGATTCCAAGGATATTCAATTTTACATTTAGAAATAATCCTTTCACCTGTAGTTAAGTCAGAAGAATACACTTGAACTTCTTGTAAGCAATCTTTAGAAGCAGACATCTCAATTAAAACCCTTATTTGATAATATCGGTTGTTGAATTGGGACCTTATGGTTCTTCATTGTTGTTCTATTATCAGTTGTTGATCTGTTTTCCATATGAAAACTAAATCTATTAACAATGGAGTTGTGAATCAATTTGACTATCAAAACATGATTCTTTAACATGGTTGTTAGATGTTTGTTGAAATGTTTGAATACAATTGTTCAATTTCTAAATAAAAGATTACCGTCATTCTTTCTCTTCTAATTTCTGATTTTATTTTTCTGAATAGCAGTAACATCAATCGAGATTAGTGGAAATTGGTTTTTATTTTTTATAGTTGATACTTGAGAAAACCTTATATGTTTTTTTTTTATTTTGTGAAAATTAATTCCAGGTGAAAACAGAAAATGGTATGTTGTGTTAGAAAATGACAATCATACCCTTGGTCACAGTAGTCTCATATCATTATTTCCATTCTCACCTTCACTCCAATGCCCATTATTAGAAGAAATCAATAAGCTCCTTGCCAGCTGCTGCTGCTGGAAGTCGGTCTGATAATGAGATGAAAGATGATTGTTGCCAACCATCCTTGAAGGATTTGTAGCATAAAGTTTTTCTTGGTCATGCCATACACTGTTATATAGTTCATGGTTCTGCATAAAGTTAAAACTTTTGCTTCTAGGTCATCCAAATGTACAATGTGATTTTTCATAACATCAGGTACAAATGTAGATTTTTCATAACAGCAGTGAAAATCTTAATCAGTTGAATGTGTATTTCATAACATCAGGTACAAATTTACAATGTGATTTTTTTATTCAATTACAGGGTAATCTTATTCCGGAAGGCCATAAAGTTCTTATCTTTTCCCAGAGTTGCATAATTCTTGATATTATTCAGGTTTGTTTCAATGCCTAACTAAATTGGCTATGTTTCTCGTTCTTTTTCTTAACCAAAGTTTATCAACTTTGTGAATATTATTCTGACTTGTTTTGATATTTATTTTTGATATTTTGTTCTTAATGTTGGTTCTAACTTCTATTTTTTTCTTTTTTTTAAACAGTTACAAGGGACCTGAATAGGGGTTTTCTGAATTTGTAGTGATGGCTGCAGACACTGAAGATTTTGAAATGATTTCCCATATTCCATTCCTTACTAAATATTAGGTATGTTTCTAATATTTTTGTTCCTTCAAAAGAAGAATTGGGGAGAGCATGTGGAGTTAAAAAAACCGGTGCTTTCATGTTCGTTGACCAGCATTGAAAGAAGTCAACTAAGATCCCAAATCCAGCAACTCAAGGTTTACTTTATTATCTTCTTATAATCTTTAATCTAATTACACACTATCATATCAATGTTTTTTCTGCAATTTGTAAGGGGTAATGTTTTAATTTGTAATACTATATGCATGTGTTATAGTTGTTGGTTAATATTATATGCATGGGAATACAAAAAATTCTGTTTTGAGCTTCTCACCTAATGGAGAGGTACAACCGTTCATGCTATTTTAATACATGATGAAACAGAAACACTACAAGTTTTTCAATTAATTTATATATATATATATATATATATATATATATATATATATATATATATATATATATATATATATATATATATGGTAGGGGTTGATAGCTTTCTCTTAGCTTGGTTGAATGATAAGATGGTGGTCATTGGGATCCATGTGATCAGAATTTCCCTGGTGCTCCAACATTTTTGCCAGGTAAACCCATCTGGCCAGACCTCTGCGTTGCCTCCTACAAGGTCTGTTACTTGTTATTATGATTTATGATTCTGAGGGTATTTAGGTCATTTACTCAGAATTTTGCGGTTTCAACTTTACAGGTAGATCACACTTGCTTGGCTAAACGTTATTCTGTATGCTTTCAAATTTGTCTTCTTCCTGAATTCTTTTTCTTTGTAAGTTTAGCCTTATTCTTTTCTTCAATTAAGTGTTGTCTGGAGAGTGTTGTATGAACAACAATAAATCAACATTTTTTTCCTTCTTTTTCTTGTATGAACAATACATAGTCATAGTTTGACTTAATTAGTTGCTTATTTTGTTTATTAGTTGCTTGTTTTCTAGCTTATTATAGTCACTGATTGGTTTCTTGTTATGCTTAAATCTTAACAGCTATCATGGCAACCTTCAACAGTAGTTTGGGATCGGCACCTTCTTGCAAAAGATATCGTGTACGTGTTCTTCTGCTGCTATTGTGGATTCGGGAACATCCTTGCTTACTGGTCCAACTGTATGTATCTCACGTGAAGCTTCTGTTAGAATTATTAATCTTAGAGATTTCAAGTTTTTTATATTTCTTGTATCTAATTAGTTTGTAAATTTCCGTTACAACTTTTATTGATTTGTTTTATCTTTCTATGGAACGATTATTTGTATGACATTATATTTTGTGCAATGGATTGTATTTTTGTATATGATATTTTATTTATTAAGAGACATTAAATGAAAATTTAATTTGAAAATTAATAAATCTATAAATAATATTTTTTTTAAACATATAAAATTATGATACGTAAAAATGTGTGTCATCTTCATTTATGACATGGTCTTTCTTGACAGGGGCTTTCTTGATACGCATTGCGTGTCATTAACACACGCGTCATAAGGTTACGACACGCGAATGCATGTCGTCTTCCTTTATGACAGGGCCTTCCTTGATACGCATTGCGTGTCGTAAACGCGCGTCGTAAATGCGCGTCGTCTCTCTTTATGACAGGGCCTTCCTTGACGCGCATCTGCGCGTCGTCTGAGCGTTTTACGACGCGCAATGAGCGTCGTAAAAGGCTGTTTTTCTAATAGTGATGGTTTATTATTTGTTAATTAATTGTACATTGATAATGCGAAAACGCATCAGTAACTTGGTGTTATAAAACGCATTGTTGTGTATAGTTGGTTAATGAATAAGTAAATGCATATAAGTCGAAGTTTATCTGTAAATTTTATCCTAAGAGGGTAGAAGAGATATCTTGGCCACTCGATGATTTGATTTGACTTATGTGTCGGGCCCGGTCAGAACTGAATTGATGTGTTTGATTAAGTTCTATGTCGAATAAATCGGAGATCGAGAAATCTAATGCTAGACTAACCATTCCATAGGATTGTCAGCATGATATCTAATAGAGGACTGTACGATCCCTTATCTAAAGGACAAGATTGATTAGATCAGAGTTTGATAGCGTCTTTGAGAGCTACGATTGCAAACCGAATTGTACTTGTATAGTTACTAGACTTATCCAAGTGGGAGACTGTTGGAATAGTGTCTAAGGCTGCAACTATATTAGGCAAGTATTTGACCCGGTTGTGCATGGTCCTTTTGGGTTGCCTTCACTATAGCAACTTGATGGATGATTTGTTAAGAGAGAGTAAATATTATAAGGAATAATATATGGTTATTTGATTAATATAAGTCATAGATTAATTGGAATTAATTTAGTGACTTAAAGAGATTAAATTAATAAGAGGGTATAAACTGTCAATTGTTTGATAGTTACACTTTAGACTATAAATCCTTATCCAAGATAGGTTGGACGATTTCTAGGGCTTGGATAAGCCAAAATCGTCCATAGGGTTATCAAGGAAAGGATATGGATTAACTTAAAGTCTAAGTTATCCAATTAGGGTTAAAGCTGTAATCCTTAAGGAGTCTACAAGTATAAATAGACCCTAGGGGTGAGGGAATTCGACACACCATCTAAAGTAGAGATACTCTGGCCGAATTCCTCCCCTCTCCTCTCTCCTAAATCATCCTTCTTGCTATTGGTGTTTGTAAGCCATTAGAGGAGTGACATTTGTGACTCTAGAAGCTCCAAGACAACAAGATCAACAAGGAATCCAAAGGTATGATTCTAGATCTATTTCAATGTTGTAATTTATTCTAATTAGCCATTAGAAGTCTTGGATTCAAAGCATGTTTAATTAGAAAGCCTAGATCCGAGCATTAGGGTTTTGCATGCGCACATAGGAAAGTTCTTATGGCTAAAACCCACCAGTTTTTTGAAAATAATGATTTTCCTTAATTAAAAATGAAAAAAAAAACTATTGTGATTTTTGGGATGTTAGAACACCTAAAAAGTGGTTGAGGTGACCAAGGTCCTTGAGAGAGAATCGTGAAGAGAGATTTGTGACAAACTTATGGAGAAAACTTGGGCTGTTGCCTGTTAAAACAATGTCATCAACATAAACTAAGAAATAACAAGTAACACCAGCACTATTGTATATAAATAGAGAAGGATCGACTAACAACTTTTGGAATGAGGAAGGATGTGAGTGCCAGGTTGAAGCATGTAAAATTGTTCATGTAAAGTTTCGTGCAAGAAGGAATTATTAATGTCAAGTTAACGGAGTGACCAACCCCAAAATAAGTCAATGGAGAGAAAATTTGAATTGTGACTGGTTTGGCTATGGGACTAAAGGTGTCAAAGTAATCTTTCTCATATTGTTATAAAAAAAACCTTTTGCCACGAGACAGGCTTTATACTTAGCAATTAAGTCATCTGAGTTATGTTCGACACAAAAAACTCACTTACAACTAACCGGTTTGTGGTTAGTGGTACTAGCTCCCACATATTATTTTGAAGTAACGCATTGTATTCACTATCCATTGCTTGATGCCACAGTGGATCTTTGGAGGCTTGTTTATGGGTGGTGGGTTCAAGAGTCATAGGCAACGAGTGAAGGGTTGTTTTATTAATATAGGTAGGATTGTAGTATTTGGGGTTAAGTTTCCATTGACGTGGTGCTAAGGGTGGAGGGGTGATGTCGAGAGTGGGGGGTGAGGATGGTGTAGGGGAATTCGGTGGTGTAGATGTAAAGGTAGGGGTCGAGGGTGTTGGGTTGGTGTCGATGGTAGAGGAAGGATCAGAGGGGGTAGATAATTGCTCACCAGGAGGATTAACCTGAGTCATGGGTATGGGTGAAGGAGATGGAAGGGGTGACTGATGTAGAATAGGTTGACTAGGCATGGTATTTGAGGTGGACTCATGTACAGGTGGAGAGGAAGGTGACATGTCTGGGAAGTTGGTTTTGTGAGATCGAAGAAATTTAGTTACAGAAGGTAAATGTGGAGATGGTGGAGTAGATGTTTTTAGGAGAATTTGGTCCTCAATGAATACTACATGTAGAAGGTGATGGAGATGTTGGTTGGGGTGTTGGAGGAATTTGTAGGGTGATTTTTCTATTGAGTAACCGAGAAAGAGACATGGATGGGAGCGAGGTTCCAGTTTGGAAGTGGAGTAAGGGTGAAGCCATGGGTAACAGAGACACCCAAAGGGTTTGAGTTTAGAGTATATGAGTTTGTTTCTGTAAAGAGCGGAAAATAGGGTCTTTGATTTAATAATTGGTGTTAGTAAGTGATTGATGAGATGAACAGTGGCTTGAAATGCATGAGATCGGTAGGTAAGTGGAAGACCCGCATAATGGAGAAGTGTAAGCCCGGTCTCAATAATGTGGTGATATCGACGTTCAACAACCCCGTTTTATTCAAGTGTATGTGGTGGCGTAGTGTAGTGTGAAATTCCCATGGATTGAAGGAAGGAAGAAAGTCTTTGATATTCACCTCCATTGTCACTAAATATGAATATCAGACTTTTGCTTTATTGGGTAGAGTCATACATACTTTGAGTAGTAGTCAACAAACACAACATAATATAAGTAACCATTAATAGATTTTTAAACGGGTCCCCATACATCGAAATAGAAGAGTTGCAATGGTTTAGTGGCGATAAAAGAGTTTTGACCGAAAGGTAACTTATGATTTTTATTGATAGCACACGATTGACAGTGAAAATTAGAGCTAGACAGTGAAGTAAAGTTAAGTCCTAATTGTTGGCATAGTTTCTTGAAGATGCGGACAGAAGGGTGTCCGAGTTTGTGATAACAATCAAGAGGTGAGACTTTGGTGGTAGTGTTGACTTGTGGTGATAAGATTGAGCGGTTTAGAAAACAGACATCATTGATGTTCTCCTCCCATGTGAGTGGCGCCCTCGTTCGTAGATCCTTGACGACAAAGATAAGGGAAATAATTCAACATAAACATCATTAGTACGACATAGTTTTCCAACAGATAAAAGATTTTTCCGAAGTTTGGGAACACAGAGAGTATAGAGAGTATTGGGTAAGGCAAGTGAACGGGATGAGGTGTGTATGGTAGCATGACAGCATGAGATATAAAGAGATTTGTACCATCACCGAGAATGATTTCATTTGATCTCTCATATTCGGAGACTGAGTGTAGGGATAACCGATCAGATGTGAGATGGCGTGAGTCATTGAGTAATACATGGAGATACTAGAAATAGATTACAACAAACTTGAATGCAATTAAATACAAATAAATAGAGATTATTGCATATTGGTCCATGAAGATGTGTAGGTTGTGATACATTTTCATTTATAGTTCTTAAATTTACTTTGTTAGAAGATGTGTAAGTTGTGATAAATTTGACTCTTCTAATTCATCGTTTTTTTTCTCCTTCAATGATATTTTTAATCTGTTTGTTTATCTTTTATAGAACTATAAAAAAAATACAAATCAAATAAGATTAGAATTGACGAAATAATTAAAATAGTTCACGGAGAAGGAAAACCATCTCTCGTAGGTATAAAACATCTACGCATAACATGATCTTCACGAATTGTACAAAACATGAAAACATTCGTCATTAATGTAAAAGTTATTAAAATATGTAAAACAGCATATCACGGTTAGCGATAACATCCGATAGTATCTATATCTATATAAATTTTAATTTGGATATAATTGGCGATATCTAATACTGATATCTGAAGTATCACTATCTTCGTCTTGATATTCATCATTGACTTTTCAAACGAAACAATGCTTGAGAAACAAAAAGAGATCTTGAAATACTTATATCTAAAATTGTTCCATCCATGGACTATCGATAGTTGGAAAAGTTAATGTACTTAGTGAATTCGCAAAATGTGATTAACGAGTATCTAATACCAATAAGACATAAAACATGTGCGCAATATAAATACATATCACAAATGTTTAACGAGCTCACATTATTGTCACGACCTTTGTTTCGCTAGTTTGCTGTTTTTGAAATATAGTTATCTAGATATATATATATTTAATCTTTCAAATATGGTCATGTGGTGAATATCTAACAAAACACCCCCTATTAAAAAGTCATTTGTTGCTTTAATAACATAGAATTTCTTTCTTGATTTGATACAAGTGTTGGCTACATTAGACATTTGATTTGGTAACAAAATATAGATAGTATATTTTTCATTTAAAATATATAGAGATTATCGATATTTTTCTAAATTGTTAAATTCGTCTTCAAAAATATAAAAACAAGATTTTTCATCAAGTGTATCCATTCTCTTGTCTATACATTATATTATATATGATTCTCCTCTTCTTTTTGTAGAACCAAAATATACATCATAAGATTCTCTGAATCCTCTAAGCTAATCCACCAAAACTAAAAACAATTTTGTATCACTATTTATATTATGAACCACTAACCAGCGATGAATCGCCATAGTAATCGGCGATCCCCGACGCCGCCCATAACCGTTCGTTAAACGAATCCTGTAAATCATCGGGTATAAATGGAGTCCGACAAAGCGGGCAAGTTTTCTGATCATGGTCCATCCACCGGTCGAGACAGCACCGGTGGAATATGTGTCGACAATTGGTAAGTCGCCGGATCTCGTCGCCGGCGTCGAACTCATACAAACAAACTGCACAGCTCTCAGGCGGATCCACTAGCTCTGAGAACTTCACCACCGGGAGGAGCTCACGGATGAGGACAGCGGAAACGGAATAGAACTGCGTGACTGGTTCGTTCCGGGTCGGGTCTGTTGAGAAATCGGGTTCGAGAAACTCCCCGAGACCAACGAATCTGAAAACGAAGGAAATGAGCTTACGGATGAAACCCAGAAAGGTAAGGATGTGGAGAAGGAGTTTGGGGAGGAAGAGGTCGGTGTAACCAACTGGAAACCCCATTACTGATTGGAAATGTCAAATTTGATGGAAGAAATGGGGAGATGAACGTTAATGGCGTCGGAGGAAGAAGATGAAAAGATGGTTTGTTGTTATGTTTTGATGGAGATCGGAGGAGAAGAGATGGAAGAGTCGAGAGAGAGAGTGAGAGAGAATGTGGTGAGATACGTGGTGCCATTATATATATATAGAGATGTAGATATGAAGAAGGAAGGGGAGGGGTGTGATGGTGAAAAGATAAGAAAGAGAAAGGGGAATTTGATAGAAAAACTTATGAAGGGTTTTGGTGATGATGATTGACACGCCATGTAACTTTAACATGTGTTCTCCATGAATTTAATATGTTTTAGCATGAAAAAGTTTTGGGATTACCACAAAAATAAACCGACTACAACTTATATTTTTTATATCAATCTCTTGTTTGTGATGAAATTTTTACAAATCATATTAAATCAAATTTGTTTCGATCTAGTTTTATAATTATATGTTATATTAATTTTTTTTATTTAAAAGATATATTTTGGATTCAAATTATGAGTATCAAATTAAACATGCAGGCACACGGTATAAAACGTATATTGAAATTTCAAAGAATATGTGAAATCCAATGAAAATTTTTAAAATTTGAAAAAGTTATTTTACTTTATGCCCAAATCTAACAAAAAAAAAAAAAACATATTCAAAACGAGCTAAATAAATGCATTAGTCATTTAATTGGAAAAACTAACAATAATATTAAATATTTTGAAATTTAAAGGTAAATAGAGCTTCTAAAAATAGTTAGTTCAAAGAAAAAAAAACATAATTGAAATCCTAAATTATGGAACATAGGTAGTTATCTCCATAAATTCTAAAAAATTGAATTTTCTTTCCGATGTGTTGGTCAAAAATCTACTTAATAATTTTGTAACCAAATTAATATGTGAGTCGTGATATTTATTTTAAAGATTTAAGAAGAAAAACTAAGAAGTGTTTAAGATGTTGAAAATGCTAAAATCTTGAAGATAAAGTAGAATATTAAAGATGTTTTAAATATATAAAAGTAGACATTCAAGATACGACATAGGATATACGAGAAAAGTCATTGATCTTGGCTAAAATCTCAAACATAAAACCTCAAGAGCTGAAAATATTCGGCTTCCTCTAATCCTTTTATTAATAAAAAAGGTTACAAAAAAAAGTTGATGGTGTAGAGAGTAGAGAGGACCAGAACTAGTGTGTGTTATCAATGGTGAGTGTGTTGTGTATTTTTTTCTATGTTTTCCGTATGTACAACTCTCTATTTATACAAAAGTTTCCTAAGCTAAACCCCTAGAATCTCGTCATTATCTTCTCTCTCGAGATTCTTGATGATCAATTTCCACTTATCCTAAATTTCCTGATGACCAAGTCTTTTCTTCACGTTTTCTATTATAGTTCCGATTTGATCGAGTTTTCGATGACGTTTTCAGCAACTGAAGCATACAAGAGAATAAAAGATAGAACAACAAATTAATTTAGTACCCTTCATGACCTTGAGCAAGATTTTGAACAACATGTCTACTTCGAATCTGTAAAGATGTTAGTCACAAATTTCCACGATATGTTCTTTAAAATAATGTTTATTTTCCTGATTATTCCCAAAGTTTAATATGTTATGTTATTTATTGATGTTTTCTTGTTGATTTTGCTAAAAATTTACTTGATTGTAATCGAGAAAAGGAAGTCTTTTTGTTAAGCTACAACTTTTATATATATATATATATATATATATATATATATATATATATATATATATATATATATATATATATATATATATATATATATATATATAATTGTGTGGTCCTTTCTGTTTAATGTTTCTTTATTCATATTTTATGTTAAATACTTAATATTTTAAGTCACTTTCTATGCAATCAAACTTATATTTAAACATTTCATAGATTTGCAATTTTATATCAAATTCGGGAACACTTTGATTGTTCATTACATAAAAAAAGTTATGGTACTAGATTGAGCTTAAAGTTTACTAAATTCTCTTACATTGTCAATATTTGTTACCCACTTAATTTATTTTTAATTTTAATAATTTATTATTTACATCCTATATTTGTAATTATATATCATTATTTTATCAGATATTTTTAATTAACTGTTTCATAATTCATAGCCTGTCATCAACTATTTACCAGTTTATATTATTATAAATATCAAGTATCTGTTATTTTAATATTTCATAATTTTATAATATTTACAAATAAAAATATATTCCCAAAATAATTTTCAACCGATAATCAGTTGTCAATTTATCATTCAACATGATGCACTCAAAGAGAAATTAATATGTATCATTATTCAGTTATTCATTAAGCTCATTAACATTAACTCTACTTTTGACAAATTTAAAGGAGTTAACTGTTTCAAGTAATTGTTTTTTTCCTAGACACAAAAAAGCTTAGTGATAACATATAGCTTTTCTTTTTTAAAAATCACCTATTTTTGAACAAATTATTCATTATCACAAAAAAAAACATACATGTACCTAAAATGAATATAGCTGGCAGGTCAAATCTACCACCAAACTATAAAAGTAATAAAACTCTATAATTACTAGTGAAATTACTCGAGAAATTTAGGGCATGGGGCCAAATAGTACATGTCATGTCTATTTGTATTGCAATGTGAATTAGCATCTATGGTGGGAGCCATTGGTTCCACCATTAATCATCCTTTGCATGAATGATTTCCTCCAATAAAATAGTAATAAAAACAAACAAGCCAAAACAAGTGAGGCATGGCTAGTGGGTTCTCATTTATGGTGCCATGGTTGGTCCATAAGGTTTGGTTTTGTTGCATCATTGGTGGGGTTCTTGCCAAATTATTAGGTTTGCTCTTTTCCAATGTTTGCAAATTCAAATTCATATTAGGTTATCATACCAATGTTGAAAAGTTTATTAAAACTATGATCAATGGGTCATAAAAAATATTAGTTTTTGATTTGTGTGCTTTTGTAATCTAATAATGTTTTGAAAAATAAAATTATATGTGAATATTAGAGTATACAATTATATTAGAGTATAAAATAAGATTGATTGTGTCTAAGAACCAAACCACCTCACCCCCATGGGGTCCAATTTTAAGATATGTCTAATAAAACCAAAACATAAAGACCCACCTCACCCATAAAAGGTTAAATCTCTTTATGTAAAGATGTAATATTAAAAATGAAATAATTTAAATAAATATAAAATAGACTACACATGGATACCTAAATCTACATCTAATGCCCGACAGTTTGGACCGGTGCTCATCTTATCACTACACCGGTCCACTTATTTGTGCCTCCTCTTTCTTTTTGAGTTTTGTCTCTTCCTTTGTCTTCAAATATTTGACGCTAGAGAGTACAAAGAAATGGGTACGGGATGTGATGGCTCCTTCATGTCTAGTTTTGTATTTGTGTATATGTTCCTTTCTTATTTTATGATGATCATGTGATCATGTCCCTAGTTTAACTTCACTCAAAACACTTCTTGTTACTTACTAGTTTTAACTATGATCAATTGTATGTGTAGATATATGTAAAATATACTCGCATTATAATTTTGGTTCCTAGTCTAAGACTTCTTTGATCATTTCGTTTTCCGATATTATTATGTTACACCAAAACTTTTATGAGTTGAGAACATTATTTTGTTAACCGGTATCAAAAGTTTTAATAATAAGAAACTAACAAATTAGAAAAAAAAAATATAATAATAATTTTTCTTAAAAGTCAAAATCGCCATCTTTTTACACATACACAAATCCAAGAAATAGAATGAAACAATATATTATGAAACATAACATCCTTCCTTATTGTAAAAGATACGAAAACGTCTTGTTTGGAATCCACACATACACTAAAATAATGCAATAGTAACCGCATCAAAATATTGTTTGACGTGCTTTGACCCTTGCAACCGGTTCAATGTCTTCTAGCAGTCACTAACCAAGGAAGATTGTAACCACATCAAACATTGTTTTCCTTCTCAAGGAGAGATCGGGGACAAGTTATTGAGAGACAAGATATTAACATATGTAATTATCATTTACAATTCTAACAATTTGTGACCAATCTAGAACAAAAAATTACATGGTTCCCAAATAAAATGAAAGTGATAAAAAAAAAATCAACAAATGTAGAGGGTTGGGTCGTGTACCTTAAAAAAGTTGGACCAACCAGATCAACATGTTAAAACCGATCAGGTACTACCGATTAAAATTTTAAAAAAAATCGACTGAAATATAACTGAAAAAAAAAATGCACAATTTAATAAAAAAATAATTGATTATTAGTGTATTGATATCTTATTGTTGAATAAAAACTATATACTATATTTAAGCCTATATATTATAAGAAGCAAATGGTCTTTAGTAACTTATTATATATTTTTTTTCTCTTTTTAAAAAGGTTTTTTAAAACATTAAAAAAAACAAATTTAACATAGGTCTTCTACCTTTTCTAAGGTAGTTTCAAATTTTTGTAATATATATATATATATATATATATATATATATATATATATATATATATATATATATATATATATATTCTAACTCGAAAGGTTCATATTGTTTGTTTTTAATGTCCGCTTAGTCATTATCCAATCTAAAAAGACTGTTATGCGCTTATTATTTTCGTTTTTAATTAATTTTATTATTTATGTATTTCTTTTTTAATATATTATCATAAATTTCTAATTAATCTAGTAAATTACAAAATACTCATTTATCCTTCTTGTCTTCCATTACCTAGGTAAAATACCACCGGTTTTTACCACCGAAAAACCACAAATACAATAGATTTTAAATGAAACCCAAATCACACCCATCATTGGTTTCTAAAAATCTATAGATTTTGTCAAAATGAAACCCAAATCTACAACTTGATGAACCTTAAATGTACAAACTTTCATTTGAAATCATACCTTGATAAACCTCAAAACCAAAACCAATGTCAAAATTTGGTAAAGACAATAAAT